TTTTAGATAGGAACTAAGATTTGTTTTTACAGAAGCGAACTATCAAGATTGTGGTAGGCGAGATAACTCGACCTATAAACACGATGATAAATGTATTTATAGTAGCAAATCATTAATTTCTTTATTGAATAGAGTTAGTCACGGACCAATCAAATAATGTTTTATTGAACGTGCCAGTCGTGGACGTACTATCCGTTGACTGTCCTGATCGGAGATCATTAGGCTGTTGACCACTGTTGCATTGTAAAGTGTAATCCGAGGATATCGTATTCCAGGTAGATAAAAACTCCTGGTGTTTAAGCAGAGACATATATACACAGAGATTGGCAACTCCGTGAAATCCCGTTAAAAAACGCGGCCCGGAATGAGATTCTCGTCGATAATTATTCTACAACATGTAGACAAGTCATGGATGAATAACATCGATAGCTAATCAAGAAAAGTAATAGGAAAACTTATTTCAGATCAAATAAATTCTTTTTCTAAAAAACTACTTGAAATAGTTGTATTTTTTTTTAATGTATTTGATTGAGAAAATTTTTTTTTCTTTTATTCGGCATTTCTTTTAATTTAAAAAGTAAAATCTGGTAATGATCATGATATTACAAGAAACATTTCTTTGCTAAAGTTTGCTTCTAAATTACGTGAAATTATGTGTGTCCGATTTTCCGGTCATTATCTCCTTAGAGTTGTGACTGTGGATTCACAGGTGTGCGATTACGCAATTTATTGCCCTCCGATCACCTGAATTTTGCCGGAGGTGAAGTTCTAAGTGGATTATTACTTGGTAATTGTTTTTACAACTAAACAAATTCTCACATTATTTTAACCATGACCAGAACTTTATTTTAACAGAAACACTGGGCTATACTATGAATAGGGTAAACGGACAGAAAGTCACAGGACATAGTCACAAATTGGATAGGACAAAAAGTCACAAATAATTTATTGACAATTGTTTGAATATATAAGAGAAAGATCTTCAAATAATATCTTTTTTTACATTTATTCATTTTTAAGTTCAGGAAATTGTTCATAAGCCTTGATAAATGAAAAATTATTAAATTTTAATCATGCAAATAATATATTTCTTGGCACCATGAAGCCATTTAAGTGCCAAACCACTTTGACATTTTGTTATCATAACAATTATTTGATCATCATTGATATTTATTGAATAAATTTTAATTACAAAGTTGCTTCATATATTATAGTTCAATAAAAAATCAAAAAAATATTTTTAAAATTAGTGTTTTCTTGTTCAGAGAAAAATAATCTCAAAACTGAATTGTGACTTTTCGTCCGTGACTTTTTGTCCTGTGACTTACTGTCCTACATTCTACCATAGTATTCAATCAGGAACAAAAATAGTCATTTAACATGTCAAAAAAAGAAATCAGAAAGCAACTTTCTTATATAAAAAAAATATGTAGCCAGTAGAATTTTGTCTCGTGGAAAACGGATTTAAATGATTAATTTTTGCATGAATTTCCTAAATGAACTACATTATGTACAGTGTTGTCGAAATCACTATTTTTGCTGTCATGAAATATTGAATATGAATCTGTCATTATTTGAAGTTTTTTATAGACTTAATATCACAGACCCTGATTAAAAACAACGTGTATCATAAGTACAGTAAAATGCTCTGCTGAACTGTAGAATTTTAATGTTCTGTTTCATAGACCACAGAAGTACTGCAACATCCTTATCTTTACTCTTTCCTATCGGGTAGTGAAACTCGAGTTTGAAATTAGAAAGATTTAAAATTGAAGACAAGTTTTATCTGATCTTTTGTGGGTTTATGTTCCGGTGCAGTGCTATGTGGGCTGTTATTTTCTTTTCATTTGTCATTTTTTTATCTGTGTTACATGACCTTGTACTTTTTGTATTGCCCCTTGACATCTCCTGCTTCTGTTTAAACCTTTACCACTAATATCTCATCTGGTTTAAATAAAATAGTGTCTCATTCCCGGAATTTGTTATACAGGAATTCATTTTTATATCAGTTTTTTTATAAGCATATAAACTGCTTGGTCTCTTCACACAATTTATGTTTAGGACGGAATGCATCAATAGGTACATACATGTACCAGGTCACCAATATATAAGTACACGTTATGTGCTTTTGACCTCCACAAGAATTCTTAAACATTCATAGATGTGCAAAGAATATTTTTGTCGTTGGGTTGTTGTCTCATTGACATATACCTCATATTTCTGAATAGTCATAGCAGCTGTGCCTTTTCAATTTATTGCAGAAAATATTTGCATTAACATTTTTCAAAATAGGCGAGGTGAAACAGTGATCACAGAATGAGGACATGTAAAACTGAAACAACACAACACAACAGATAAATATAAACAAGCACCATTGCTAAAGGACTGAAACAAACATAGATGATGACTAATATGAGCGACTAGTAGTGTACAAGTAGAGTGAACATTTCTTGCTTCTTATTCTACACATTTTGTCATTTCATGTAAACAATTAAATATGTTATTTTCCGAGGAGAGGAAGGAATTTGTGAAACGAAATATTTTGCCTTTAGTACTGTCAAGTTATATATTCACAGGAGTGTTGTTGAATAAATGAACATTTTCCCTTTTTTTACATTATGCTACCTTTATGCTACAAAGGTAGCATTTCCATTCTCAAGATATACAAAGATATTATAGAGTGGCCTTCCAATGATAGTCATACATGTAAATCATTGTCTCATTGGCAATCATATTACATCATCATATTGCTATACATGTATGTAAAAATTATGTACATGTATACTTTGTAAACGTAAAGAAGACAAATGAAGTTGAACACAAGATATTTATTTGCATTTTTATCCGTATAGTCTCTGCACAACTGCCACTTCTGTTTCAAATTCAACAGATTGAATGCGGAGTCTTGTATTTATTCTTAGTTCAATGATGTCACCATCACTTGCACAAAAATCGCATACACATGTACATCAAGTTTGGCATATGAACTATGATATTTGAACTACAATAATGTGGTGTTTTCACAGTCAGGATAAGCACATGTCATTTTCTCTCTTACAAAACCATTTTTTAGTATCACACTGATAGTAGTACATGTAATCGGTCCACTACATGACTGTGCAGTAAGATTTGAAAAAAGTCATCACTAATAGTTGTTCCTGTCTGCCAGGGAATCTTTTTTTTCAATCAGAGAGGCTAGGGAGTCCTACATTCAGCACATGTATGATATTACATATCTTGTATGCTGCACTGTTAGCTAAATTTGATCAACATCTTTGTTCTTTTATAACATGCAGGATCCTGTTAAAAAAAAAAATGCTGTCAGATACTGAATGTAAATATACATGTATATAAACTTGTAAATGTCATCAAAGTGGTGGAAATAATGAAAAAAACAATTTATATACACAAAACAGGTATGTCTTGGGAAAGTAATTCCTGTGATCAATGGTGATGGGTACATTTGTTCTTTAAAGATGGACAATTTTATAAACTGTAGCCATGGACAGGTGCCTGTCTTTATAATGAAGAGAATGAAAATGGCCGACAGCTTGAATGGTCATTTTTAATTGTAAATTGCATCAAAGCTGGTGAAAATATGGAAAAAACAACTGTTATACACAAATCCAGTATGTCATAAGAAAGTAATTCATGTGCTGGGAATAATTTTTCTCTAAAGATAAAAAAGTTTATTGACTGTAGACATGGACAGGGGCCTGTCTTTATATTGAAGAGAATGAAAATGGTCGACAGCTTGAATGGTCATTTTTAATTGTAAATTGCATCAAAGCTGGTGAAAATATGGAAAAAACAACTGTTATTCACAAATCCAGTATGTCATAAGAAAGTAATTCATGTGCTGGGAAAAATTATTCTCTAAAGATGAAAAAGTTTATTGACTGTAGACATGGACAGGGGCCTGTCTTTATATTGAAGAGAATGAAAATGGCCGACAGCTTGAATGGTCAATTTTTAATTGTAAATTGCATCAAAGCTGGTGAAAATATGGAAAAAAAACTGTTATACACAAATCCAGTATGTCATAAGAAAGTAATTCATGTGCTGGGAATAATTATTCTCTAAAGATGGAAAAGTTTATTGACTGTAGACATGGACAGGGGCCTGTCTTTATATTGAAGAGAATGAAAATGGCCGACAGCTTGAATGGTCATTTTTAATTGTAAATTGCATCAAAGTGGGTGAAAATATGTAAAAAACAACTGTTATACACAAATCCAGTATTTCATAAGAAAGTAATTCCTGTGCTGGGAATAATTATTCTCTAAAGATGGAAAAGTTTATTGACTGTAGACATGGACAGGGGCCTGTCTTTATATTTTAAAAATTGAACGTGGCCGACAGCGAGAATACTGAATTTTAATTGTAAATTGCATCAAAGTGGGTGATTTAATGAAAAATTCAACATATTTACACAAAACCAGTATGTCTTGGGAAAAGTGATTCATCTCATAAATGATTTTATTCCTTTTCGAATGAAAAGGTTTTAATAAAAAATACGTCCGTGTAAAAAATTTTCATAACGTCCATGTCGGCCAAGCTTTCCCCTTATTATTGACCACAATAAAACGTTAATCGTCACAATATTTTAACTAATAATTACTACAAACTGAATAAAACAAGGTAAATAATTTACGAAATTGAAATATATACTTACATTATGCTGTTTTGAAAAGCTTGATGTAAAATAAAAATCGAAGCGGTGGTGAACTTGTCATGATCAGATGCAAAATGGCGATCTCGTTAAAGTCTCGTGTGATGCGTGTTTTTAATTGGATTTCGCTGACCACTGTTACAGTTGCCAATCTCTGTGTATATATGTCTCTGGTTTAAGTAAACAGTTTTAACTTAAAGTTTATTTAAAAAATACATTGAACACCGTACTGTGACCTATAATGGTTTACTTTTATAAATTTTGACTTGGATGGAGAGTTGTCTCATTGGCACTCATACCACATCTTCTTATATCTATGACTAAGATTAAGAAAAGAAAGTAGTATTCTTTATATAGTTCAATGTAATTACTTTAAACAATTACATCCTTTAATAACATGAAGACGTAAATACATATTTCAGAAAAAGAAAGTAAAAACTTTAACTTAGGTCAAAGACGTATATACGTCCTTGCTTAGGTGAGACAGAACAAAAATGGACCACCTGTGGTCCTTGTATGGAATAGTGTGTATAATAATGTGGACATTTGTTCTAAATGAAGCCAAATTTATCAGATTTAAGCCTGGATATGAATATGAATATAAATTTGAATCAAGTTCAGAATTAACAGATTACGGAAATTTTAACATAAAAGCGAAGGTAAGTTTTCTAATAAGCATGCATCTGTAAAATGTATTTTATATTACATTGTATAAAGACAATAAAGTGTGTGATAAGGATCGTATTTGGCCAAAGTTTTCATTGAAATTTTAACTGAAAAAAGGAGTTTTCTTATATATCTATTAAAAATAGAAAACCGAATACATTTATGATAATTGACGGCACAATTTAGGTAGTTTTATAGAAAAGTTAATTTAGAAACTTTTTCTAAACACTATTTCCTTTATATTTTGTCACTTTTAGAATAAAAAATCGATCCGTACAATTCATTGAATAACTGAATAAATGTGTTATAGATATCAGGTTCGTTAATTCGTGTGTTCGTTTTTCTCACTCATAAATACGCATCAAAACTATGCTTTTTTGTCACCTTCTGTAGAATTTGCAATTTATATCATCTTTTAACAGACTATTCAAATGTTAAAAACAATGATGATATAACTAATGAAAAATACTATTATGTATGTCCCTAAATATAATGTAGCAGGAGCAATTCTGCTGGAGATTCGGGGATGCGGACCACAGCTTATTCTAGTTTGTGAACTGATTTATACGGAGACGATGGATGCCAAATGTAAAAGCGCTATAAAATATCTACTAGTATATAAAAGAAAACCAAAAACAGTGAAAACAATTTATAATTTAATCAACAATTACAACTTTTATTATGTAAATCCAAAGTAGAAATGGAGCAGTCAATGACTTCAATATTATACCCGTATTAAGAAGGCATATGGCAGATGCACTAACCTTGTAAAGGGTGGCTGGAAAGCACGGCTTTCTTATTTTTTTTTTTATAAGTTTTCCGAAGAAGGTAATTAAAGGTTCTGCAACGATGCAAATATTAAACTTTAGAATAAAGATAAATATCTTTAAACAATGAATTCAAATAGCAAAAGCTATGCAATTTAACAAATATATACTTAATAAGCTTCATGTAAATTATTTAATAATGAAATATGAAATTTAAAGTTTAAACAAGGGAGATAATGATTACATAATAATGCTGTCTGCCACAATAAGCTCAACATCCATTAAAGAGCAAGCATACAAGTCCCTAGTTAGACCATCACTAGAGTATGCTTGCTCTGTTTGGGATCCATACTTACAAGACATGGATAGCATTAATAGCAAATACAGAAACACCTCAAGCGTTGGTAACATGTAACAACAATGGCGCAGCCTTTCTGACAGGAGAAAAGATTCAAGATTGGTAATGCTATACAAAATAGAACACGAAAAGGTTGCAATACCTAAAAATAATAAATTAATTCTACAAAAAAGACTAACAAGACATTCAAATTCGAACAGCTTCCAAATTCCATCCTGCAAAACATAGTACAGAAAAGAATCCTTTTTTCCAGAAACTATAACCGATTGGAACCGTCCGATTGGAACAAACTACCTGATAACATTGTAAATTGCACATCAGTAGACTCTTTCAAATCCTCAATTTCAAAGCATCAATATTAACTCAACCATTACATCAAACTAATTATACATTGCATTTTTCATTTTTCCTCTATTTTTGATCAGTTGTATATATATCAATCCATGTCTTGCTGTAGGTTTCCTCCTGTGACATAATCTTCAATTTGTTGAAGGCGGTCTCTATTTGGTAAAGGTAGAAGAGTTGGGACAGACAAATAAACTTGTAGCGTGGTTGAAGTTGTCTTTTTTTATCTGTTTATATAAGTCGAAAAACAAAAGGTACATAAAAAAGGACCAATACAAATAACAGGATTTGTTTTTATCTTGATTCGCATATGCCGTAAATGTAAAAATCCATATCATTCCGTGGGTTTATACATCTATGCATATCTAAGCAGATTTACGAAATTTGTACGTTGGGAAAATAATGCTTCTTCTAATTTTGTTGGGAGTGGTTTCTCAGAAAAATATAAAGTGTGCACTTGTAAGTATATAATTAAAATCACTGAACGGAAATTAAAGGTCAAATGAATTAACATATGAGTATTATTTTCCGTTTAATGCAAAAACTGGTTATCAGTGTGACACTTGAGGCCAGTAGACCATCAACTAGTATTTCAAATGTTGTATGACATTATTTCATTAAACATGTAGAGCTACTTTCCTAATGCATGTAGTGTAAGAATTTGGTTAGCGTGTTTGCTTTGTCTGTATATAGTACAATTGTAATTGGGATAACATATATCAAATTTCAATATAATATAATATAATATATACAGGTTTAACTATACTTGTTTTCCGATGTAAATATTCTTTACAATGTTTGAGCTAACGTTTATACAAACAAAGCAAGCAAGCCAACCAAAGTCTTACTCTACAAGCATTATGAAATTACTCTAAAAGGTTCATTCAACCTATGCCAACATTTTGAAATTTAGGTATAAAATTGTATGAAAAAATGTTGGCATAGGTTGAATAATTTGTAACGGATTAAACGTTATAACAACATAAATTGATCAGGAGCTAATCAATTTACAACAAGTTTAAACTTAGCTTTTAATACCATTTTTGTTATTACATGTAATAGTAAAAATGTAGGTATAATTGTATTTGTTGAGGATCTCTATTTCATAAGGAATTGATATAAAATAATATATCAAAATAATGGAAAATAAGTGTTAATTTCTATAATTTTATTAAATGATCATCTATTCACATAAAATATATACCAGTGTCAATCTAATGAATTATATAAAATATTTGATAAAAATATTTAATTCTATTTCAAATAGATTCCTTCAAATACATAGAAATACTGACTATCATGACTATACTATATATAGTACACATGTACTATTGAAACACATAGTTCTGTATTTTTGATATTTAACTATTTTTTCATAAATACTAACTCGTGTAAAATATCTATTTTGAATGTTCATTATTGAATCCTACAATATTGACACAGACAGAGAATTGTACAAAGTTCACTATGATTATCTCAAAAGTCATACACTTATTAAAACGAAGAAGATATGATGCTGCATCTGCATACATAACTGCTGAGTACTCAGTCTGGATTATTGTAACCTCAATAACTGTTTGCTGTTTCTTCAGTAGTTTTACTTTGTGGTTGTCATGATTGTACCAATTTGGTAGTTTTGTAGGTATGTTATTGCGAGTATTTTAATGTTACTGGACAATTACGTGTAGTGCATATCGTGTATATTTTATCATATAGTCTGGATTTAACTCTGAACTGGTACCCACTGTGGATTAGATTCTGCTGCCTAGTCTATTGGTAACAAACTGAATATCTATATCTAAAACATTTGGTCTTAGATGCATGATTTTTTTTTATTAGTTGTTAGTGGCTTTGAACTAGCTGTCAGGAACAGCCAGTACTCTCAGATTTGTACTTAATGTCTTTTTGTTGTTGGGATATACAAGTACCCGGCCAAGTCCACTCTGTGTTTTTGTTAGATGTATTTCTATTTGTATCCATCGGATGAGTTAAGCTTTTTTCAACTGATTTGTTTAGTTAGTTCTTATGTTTTACTGTTAAGCCACTGTTCCAGGTTAGGGGGAGGTTTGGGATCCCGCATGTTTAACTGTATGTATGTGCCTTTCAAATATGTTTAAATAAAAAACAAACCGACACCAAGCACGTATTTCTAAAGTAAAACTAATTAAATAAAGGCTGCACTTTTTTACTGGAAAGCCGCTGTTAAATAATTGAAATTTTAAAAAAAAATTATTTGATACTTATTTTAAATTTCATTTTGCTAAATTAATTTGATTTAATACTATTTGTTATGGTATTATAATTGCATATAGTGTTGCTTTTTTATTTGTATGTTGCATATTTAGTATAAGAAAGTTTATCATGAAAATTCTCAAATAAAATAGCTTAATTTCATTCTTTTTCTGTAGTACTACATGTACGTGTTCATTTTTTTTGTATTTTTATAATTAATTTAGTATTTACTTCAACACAATTTTGCTAGAATCAAGTGTTCTATTTTATCATTTTAGTCTTTTTTTTTATTTAAATCATTTTTACTTAATAGTAACAAAACACTATTGCACATATTTTATTCTTGTTTTTTTTTTATTTTTCAAAGAGTAATATTTTAATGCTTAAAAATACTGACTGTATTTTACCTGTTACTAATTAGTAATAGTTATAACAACACCTATTGTATTTTGTTTGTAGGCATAGGTTGAATATATATTTATCAAATGTTGGCATAGGTTGAAGACACCCTCTAAAACAAGTTTTTGACCTCACCTAAGTCCCTAATTTTGGGACAGGTAACTGCATGAACATGCAGCGTGGTTGGAATAGTTTTTTTTCAAATCTTACCTGTATTTAAAGGTACACAAAAGTGGCACACCGTTAAAATGAAATCTTATGGTAATAATAGAGATAATTTATATATAATCTAATATCAATAGGCTAAGAAACATTTTTGTTTACACGTTTTTGTGTACTTTTATATAGGTTAGTATAAAAAACCTATTCAAACCACGCTAAATGTCCAAATTAGGGACATATTCAGTAGCTGTCTTTAATATAATAATAAGGAGATGTGGTATGATTGCCAATGAGACAACTACCCACCGAAGTTCAAATGAAGGGGATGTTGGCAATTTTAGTTATATATTGTGTCAAAAAGAATCCACCAATTATTGTATTATTGTATCAAACGAATGAACTACCATTTATTGTAATAAGAAGTTGGTTGATATTTGCGTAATGTAACATGGTCTGCTTACTGTTCTTTTCCCTCAGACTCTCAACAGACGAACTACATCTGTGAGAGCTGGTTCTGATTTTTACATGTTCGGGGAAAACTAGCTTAGAACAATGCCTTTGATGGTGTATGGCATTGCTGCCGATGTAAAGGCAGGCCGGGCGTTGTTGCCGATGTAGAGGCAGGCCGGGAACAATAACAGGAAAGAAAACCAAACTAGAATATCAAGAAACTCGCTATTATTTTAATAAAGAAAACATTGAAATAATTACAATATAATTTCAAAGTACA